AATAAAAGGTGGAGCAAGGAGACGACCGAGGAGGACGTACCTGGGGCTGGCTATAGACGCGATCGGCAGAGAGAGAGAGGGCATGTGTCTAGGCTGCCAGATATCTGGGGCTGAAGCCAGAATCCTCCAGAACGGGCAAGAGCAGCAAGACGGCCGCTCTGATTACCCCGTGGTCTGAGGTCTGCTCTCCTGCTCCTAAGAAGGACCTGTCCTCGGCTCCCACCCACCAGGAAACCTCGTAGGTACACCCTAGCCCCAAAAGGGGGCGTGGGCAGCAGGCAGTTGGCAATTGACGCCCAGGCTGACCGCGACAAAGTGTTAAGTTACAACACATCTGAGGAGACCCTTTGATCATTGGGTATAAATACTGGTGGGACTCCAACAGTTTTTCGTTGGCTTCTGAAACCCCAGGACCCTCCTGGGAGGTTGGAGGCCAACCCAAAGAGATCTCTTTGCTTCTGCATGCCTTTGGGGTGGGATACCTTTGTCTGCATGTTCATTTTTGTGTATGTGTTTACTATCTATAGTTATTGAAATAGATGTGTATTGTGTGTCAAGTTGATACAGCGTCTTGCTGTTTCATCTTGTCAGGTAAACTCTGAATCCTGAGCCTTTTAAAATAAAAACAATATATAAGAAGAGAGACCTTTGCTTGGAGTGTCTCTGGCCAGCGCTCAGCGTTTTCCAAAATTGCACCTTCCGCCTTTTGGTAAGAGAGGCACACTCAGAGGACACAAACCACAGGGAGGGGGTGTGTGGGAACACATTTTCTCCCAACAATAATTATATCTTTGTTTTTAACATTTGTAACATTTACATTGTCCCCGACCTGAATGGGCCAGACCAGCCCAATCTTGTCAGACCTCAGCAGCTAAGCAGGGTCAGCCCCGCTGAGTACTTGGATGGGAGACCACCACGGACGTCCGGGGCCGCTGCTCAGAGGCAGGCAATGGCAGACCACCTCTGAACGTCTCTTGCTTTGAAAACCCTACGGGGCCTTCCGGTACGGTGCTTCGACGAGCGGGCGGGAGCCTGGAAGGCTCCGTCTCCGCTGAACCACTTTCGTTTTCGTTCGAGCCTCCCGTTTCTTGGGAGAGCTCGACTAGCACCCCGGTGGTGGGAGCAAGAGCAGGGGGCGTCTTTCTGGCCCCTCCCCGCAATTGGCAGGGCGGGGGTGTGTGTGCCCAGAACAGCCCTGAAGCCGAGACGACTGATAGGAGGAACATGGCTGCCATGTTCCACGAGAAGCGACCACCCGTTTTTATTTCAACTATATGGATATAGGAGTAGCAGCATGAAGAATTGAAACAAAGTGAGTATGAGTACGTGCCTATTTTTGTTCTAAGAAAACCCCAAACCCCACACAAATTGTTGAATGCTTTTTAGTCTTGAAAGCATGCAGAGCACAAAACATACTCATCGGATATTTCAATGTTGAGCTTCTGGTTAGTTTGGCTGAGCGTGGCCCGGTACAGCTTGGTGGCCATTTCGATCAGATGGTCGCTCCTGAGCAGGAAATCCCCCTTCCCAGCTCCTCCGGACCCCTGGAAGAGAAAGGAAACCCAGCGTTGAGAACAACCATTTGTGTGTGTGTGTGTGTCTTTGCGTGCTCGTCCTCTGAGACTGGATACCTACTTCCTTGAGATGCACGGCGAAGAAGCCGTCGTTCTGAGAGCTCATGGACACCTTCGTGACGTCCTCCAGGGGAAGCTCCGACTTGATGTGCCCTGACTTTTGATCGGCCAGGAGGACGTGATTCTTTGTGAGCAGGAAAATCCTAGCGGCGCACTGGGGAGGAATGAGAAGAGGTTATTTCTGGGCCCGCAGAAGCACGAGTTCCACAACAGCTTTCCGAATACAGATCTGTGCCGATGTTTTCAAAAGTCTGGGCCTGTCTACGAAGGGGGATTCAGTTAGAAGTTTCCCTTCTCTGTGGTTCCAGGGTGGGGCAGTCTTCAAGGCACCCACCCTTCTCGGTTGCAGACAAGATCGTGGTTCAGGGCAGCTATAAGGGGTGGGGCTTCCCCAGAGACCGAGTCTTGGGCTGCGATCATGCACACTTAATTAATTCACTTTCAATGCACTTTCAATGCACTTTCCATCCACTTTCAATGCACTTTCAATGCACTTTCAATGCACTTTCCAACGGGATTGTGCCAGTTCACATAGTAAAATCCAGTTGGAAAGAGCACTAAAAGTAGATTGAAAGTGGACTATTTAGTGTGTGTGATCGCAGCCTTGGACTGGAACAGGCTCAATAGGTATCTCCTGTAACTGGATTAACTCGGAAGAAAGACAACCGATAAAACGTTTTTCAAAAAAGAACAGAGAAAAGGGACGACCCACTGGACTCGAGCGGACTAAGCCTGTGATGAGCCACGCTGGTTATCCCTAAGCAAGAAACGAAGACAACATTGAGGTTCTGTGTCGGGAAAGTACACTGGGCAGTTCTAACTCCCAGACCGGCGAGGAAGACACTTCACAGGAAGTATTGATTTCTTAAGGACATAAGGGAAGCCATTTCGGATCAGGTCAATGGCCCATCCAGTCCAACACTCTGGGTCACACAGTGGCCAGAAATACCAGGTGCCATCAGGAGGTCCGCCAGTGGGGCCAGGACATTAGAAGCCCTCCCAATATTTGTTGCTGAAAGAAGTTGGAGTCCAGTGGCACCTTTAAGACCAACAAAGTTTTATTCATGGTTAAGACGCTGAACTGCAGGCTGTGGAAGGTCGGTAGTTCAGCAGTTCGGGACCCGAGTGCTGCATGACGGAGTGAGCTCCCGTCTCTAGTTCCAGCTCCTGCCAACCTAGCAGTTCGAAAGCAAGAAATTGCAAGTAGATAAATAGGTACCACTTTGGTGGGAAGGTAACAGCATCCTGTGCGCCTTGGTGTTTAGTCATGCTGACCACATGACCACGGAAACGTCTTCGGACAGCGCTGGCTCTTCGGCTTTGAAACGGAGATGAGCACCGCAACCCTGGAGTCCGACTCGACTGGCTTTCGAGCAAGGGGACGTTTACCTTTTTATACGCTTTCGTGTGCACACACACTTCTTCAGATACTCTTCTTTAGAAGTGCACACGAAAGCTGATACCTTGAATAAAACTCTGTTGGTCTTAAAGGTGCCCCGCTGGACTCCAACCTTCTTCTGCAGCTTCAGACCAACACGGCTACCCCACCTGAATTTATATCTGTTGCTGTATGAAATGTCCTAATGGATGTGATGTGGTACCCACTAATTCTTTGTTTCTATCAACATTCTTCAACTGTTGTTTTTAATTTGTGGCTACTGTGCACTTTCCAATAAACAGATGTACTCTGGCCCTGGTCACACTAGCGGGAAAAGCCACGGCAGAAGTGTGGCTTTTTAGAGCCGGAACAAACAGAAGCGCGGCAGCGGGATCAGACAGGTCCCCCGAGGCTCTGCGCTTCTGCCGGCAGCCGCGATCACACGCTGCAGGGAAAGCGACTCTAAGAGTGTGAGGAGAAGCGACTCTAAGAAGGGTGAGGAGGGCCAGCCGGAGCAGTTGTGTGCATGCGTAGTTTGCCATTACCATGCATACCACAGGATAACCACGTGTCGGCGATCCCACGGCCGCCGTTGCTGCGCATCATCCGGTAGGTAATGCCCTTTCACTAGTCTCTTTTAGATCCGCATCTTCGGCCGGAAGGGACGGGTTGGGGGCGGGTGTGCGATGTTTGCCAGATGTTGGCATCTGATCGCGCTGGTTTCATCCGCCTTCAACCCGTCCGTTTCACGGGGCAAATCCTCCCGTGTGACTAAGGCCTCTGTTCTATGTTTTAGTTGCTCAAACTTCTAGGTTCCTGACTAGCTACGCCGTCACCAGATGAAACAGTAAAAAAATCAACAGTCAGGTCAACTAGAATTGACTACACGGCGAAACGAGAAACACCGGAATATTAAAAGCGATTGCTGTTGCTATCCCATACAGTGAGGAGTCCGGAAGAAAGCTTTTGTAACAAAAGAAAATAAAACACGGGATAAAAAAAGAGGCCTCGTGTTGTAAGTTATATGAGCCCGTTCGCGGGAAGGGCGGGGTATAAATGTAATGAAAATAAATAAATAAATCAATAAGTTTAGGAGAAACTAATGCCTCTAACACATCGGGATCTTCTTACCTTCCCATTTGCTCTGTTGATTTTGTTTACTACTTCGGCAATGATCACTTTCTCCTCCATGGCGTCTTTTAGCTTTTTGTACTTGGGGTTCTTGCTGATTTCAAGGTAAGCCCCTTGGAAAGGCTGCCCGACGCTTTAGGGAGACAAAGGAAACAAAAGGTAATCAGGGATGTGCCAATTTCTAAAAACTAGGGGTCATTTCCTGCAGGAGCGCACAGGAGCGGAGCTCCGGCAGTAAAGAGCCAAGGGGGCGGGCACATGCAACAAGCCCCACCCCCTGCTCCCAGCAGCCCCCAGTCAGAGCAAGAAGCAGCCAGGTAAGTTGCAGAGCGCCCCCCCGGCCCAAAACAGTCCAGTGGCACCTTTAAGACCAAGTCTTATTCAGGTACAAGCTCTCCCTCCTCTGTGAGGACAGATCCGCACGTCCCCCCCCAATAGCTAGCAATCCAAAATAGTCCAGTGGAGCCTGAGCGGTGGATGTTGCCTACTGACACACGTCCGATGATGTCAGGGGGTGTGGCATATGCAAATGTTATGCTAATGAGTTATGATAATGAGCTCCTGCACCTCTTTTTCTACGAAATGACCCCTGCTAGAAACATTGCATGGGCTGGCACTACAGCAGAAGGATCATCACGGTGGGACTGCAAGTAAGCCGTGGTGGCCATTTTGTGGCTGGCTCCGCCTCCTGCAGCAGCCATGTTGCACCTGTGCCCCCTACATGCTATGTCAGAATTTCAAAGGTGAACGATCCAAAGGAATAACAATCCAAAGGAATATAGGGTAAAATGGATTTACTTATTTATTTCTGCATCCACTTTGTTTTATAGAGACTGATAAGCCAGTATGATATAACGAAATATCTCTGTGATATCACTGTAATTCTTTGTCTATAGATTTGTTCCTGAGGAAAAACTAGAGGCCTGAAACACTTAGCTATCCGGAAAAAGTGTTGACTGAAAGAGAAACGCAGACTTATTGGACTTTGAGCAGACTGCTTTTGTGAATTTGAATAAGGACACAACACTGTTAGAGTGATATAGGCACATAATAATAATAATAATAATAATAATAATAATATACTTTATTGTCATTGTACACAGTACAACGAAATTAAAGGTGCAATCATTTCAGTGATCTACAGCCATACACATATACACTCACACAACCATTCACAACCATCCCATAACTCCCTTAAGGTTCACATTGCAACCTAAACCACCAATGTCACCCAAATTCCAACTTCATGCAGCATTTAAAGCAATAATAGCTCTCGAATAAAAACTCTAAGAAGGGTGAGGAGGGCCAGCATTTCAGAAATGTTCCACAAGAGGAAGTTAATTGTTAAGAGTTACAACTTGGTATCTATAAGCATATGTAACCTTCTACACTTGGGCTTTTAGTGCCTTCTTCTCTGTCTCCCTTAGTCTGTAGTCTTCCCCCTCCCTTTTTTCATTATAATTATGTAGTTATTTTAGAAATGCAAATTAAAAAAAATCCCCTTTGGGGGGCAAAAAAAAAGAAAAGAAAAAGAAACGTTCCACAGCCGGAGGGGCCATTCACACAGGCACATCTGTCAGGCGTTCCCCACCCGTACTCAACCCGTCTTGTAACGCTTCGCTCCCGAGTTTAAAAGATACCTGGTGAAAGTGGTAGCAAACCCTGGAAAGAACGATTATCCCGCATCCATTCCGCACCAACAGAGTGAACGCCAAAAGCCGCCTTGTTCTTATGCGCTTATGTGCATATCTCTAGATTACCAAAAAGAAAGCCGGGCCTTACGGGCCTCCGGGCCAACAGTGTGAACGCTCCCTTGCGCCTCCTCCTGGTATGTCCCGCATCAGTTGCTGCAGTGTGAATGGGAAAACCCGGAACAGTTTGTTCCGGGTCTTTTTTGCCCTCCCATTTCAAACTGCCCGTCTGAACTCGGCCACAGACTGAGAGAGACTTGAGCAGATTGCTATGCGGATTTCTACTGACCTTTGTGTTTTTTCTATGATGGAATATGTTGTTTGTCTTTATGACCAGACATTAAATATGTCATGGCTTTAATACAGTCTCATTTGTTGTTGTATTGTTCTGCGGGCGTCTAGCACACGTCTGTATATATTGTTTTCATACCAGAATTTCAAAGGTGCCAATTGGATCAAAAATGGTTCGGGACCCCTTACTACCCCTTAACCCCCTTCCCCCCTCATTTGTTCACATGTACAAATCAAACTCTTCCCTACAGAGAAGTAGGCCACAGGCAGCAGGAATGAAATGGGGGCGGAGGAACCAGCTCATCTCTCGTGTCCGGTAATCCAACAAATTTTAAAGAGAGACACAAAACATTTCCGTGGCCCAAACCAGGTTGATCTCAAAAACAGAAAGAGGTTTAACTTATCACATCGGTAATCCCTCTGAGTTTCAAAACTTCTGTTTGCTGCCTTTATGGCATGAGATAAGTATGTCTGCTTCCAAAGGAGAGAGAAGAAGGAATGCAGACGGTGTTATTCCCCCTTGAGCAATGTGAATTGGGCAATCCCCCCCCACCCCGCTGCCCACCATGTCGGGAACAAAGAGTGCTGGCTGAGATTCAGCAGGGATGCAGACTTTTACCTGCCTGGGAAGGTGATAAGAGGAACTCGAAGTTACGTCGTTAAGGTAGGAACTGTAATTCTGTGAAAACGATCTGTGCATAAGAGGTTTCTAACAACAGTCTCTGCTATTAGAGAGAGAGAGAAATAGGATCATCTAGATCAGGGCTTTTTTTGTAGAAAAAGCACAGCAGGAACTCATTAGCATAACAGGCCACACCCAACAGCAAAGGAATGCGTTAGCATACTAAACCACACCCCTGACAGAGCAGCTCATTAGCATATTAGGCCACACCCCCAGAAGTGTGGTCATTCAGCCACACCCACCTTATGCTTCTTATTCTGTTTACCTTGTTTTGTTGTCAAAAACCAAGGCTTTTTTTTGTAGCAGGAACCCTTTGCATGTTAGGCCACACACCCCTAATGTAGCCCATCCTAATGAGTTTCTGCTGTTGGGTGTGGCCTATTATGCTAAGGAGTTTCTGCTGGGCATGGCCAACTCGGGAGCCAGACGGAACTCTGTTCCTGTGCGTTCCTGCCCAAAATAGCTCTGATCTAGACCAGGCGTCCCCAACCTTTTTGAGCCTGCCAGCACCTTTGGAATTCTGAAACACAGTGTGGTGGGCACAGCCACAAAATGGCTGCCATGGGAGGTGGAGTCAGCCACAAAATGGCTGCCATGGGAGGTGGAGTCAGCCACAAAATGGCTGCCCCAGCTCACCTTCAGTCACACAGTGAAGATTCTGGTGCTGTGGTGGCAGCTGCTGCCAAAGCAACATTTTTAGCAATCGACGCAGCCAATCAAATTTCCAATGGCCAATAAGAAGCCTCGCTGGGTAAAAGCCCCACACACTTCCTCAAAATATTTGGTGGGCACTGCGAAAGGTGTCCAGGGGTGCCAAAGGTACCATGCAGGAGAGACCACTGGTCTATCAAGGTCTCCCCCGTCTCCCAGAAGTGAGGCCATTTCTATTGGTCAGCCTTGGGACAAGTGGCAGAACGGTTCTTTTTACCTTGCCGGATATAAAGCTTTCTTGTCCTTGAAAAGCTCGCTGGCTTCCAGTTTTTCTTCGTAAATGCCTTTCTTCTGAGCGGTGAACCCATCCCTGTACTTTTTACACTGCAAGAAACATGACAGACGGGATTGCAAAATCGTTCTTTGGAAAGGGCTTCAACCGACATGACTCGCCATTCACTAAGTAGTTGACGCACATTTTCTGAGGCGTTTCTGGTCTGAATGCACCAAATCGCACAGCATATGTGCAGGCCTGTAGCTGCAGCGGGGCATCTTGGGGTTATCCCTCCCCGACTTATTGGCAAGGCCCCCCGACGTTAACCTGGACTCTCCACTTGACAGTTGGGATCTACATGCTATTGAATTTCTCTTATCTGGGGCCACTGTCTATAATAATGGCACATTCATTGCAGCTGCTGGAGGTTTTTTTAAAACATTTTTTTTGCAATAACCCCAACTTTTAACGAAAAACAGAATATTAACTTCACAGGGGGAGACGCTTGTTTAATGTTACCCTCCATAAGTGGAATATCCTCTTCAGTTCCTTGTGTGTTGAATCCAGAAAGAGGTAAGGCCTCGCTGGCCAGTTTTTGTCTATTGGTGATAAAGAAGGCATCTTATTCTTCATCTCCAAGAAATACTTTTGCATCTAAGTTAAGAGAAATAAAGGCGTTTTGATTAATCAATACTTCCTGAAGCATTCGATAGGATGTAGTGAAGGCCACAAGAATAAACAGCTTTAAAAGGGAATTAGATAGATTCATGAAGGATCAGTCTATCAATGGCTGCTAGCCACGGCGACTGAGGGGAACCTCCACATTCAGAGGCACTAATCCTCTGAATCGCAGAGCCAGGAGGCCACATCAGGGGAAGGCCTCAGCCTCTATGGCCTGTTGTTGGCCCTCCAGAGGAACTGGTTGGCCACTGTGTGAGACAGGAGGCTGGACTAGATGGACTATTGGTCTGATCCAGCAGGGCTCTTCTTATGTTCTTAGGAAGGCCTCGGCCTCTCTGCCCTGTTGTTGGCCCTCCAGAGCTGGTTGGCCGCTGGTTGAGACAAGATGCTGGACTAGATGGACCACTGGTCTGATCCAGCAGGGCTCTTCTGATGTTCTTAGGAAGGCCTCGGCCTCTCTGCCCTGTTGTTGGCCCTCCATAGGAGCTGGTTGGCCACTGGTTGAGACAGTATAGACTAGATGGACCACTGGTCTGATCCAGCAGGGCTCTTATGTCCTTACCATGCTTATTGTTAAAAGGATCAACAAATTCATATATATCCAGTTTCACGTCAATTAAAAGCGACGATGTTTCTGAATACAACTGACTGAGAAGTAGTCACAGTAGACTGGAATCACACCAATGTTTCATGTGTTCCCAAAGCACTCAAAAGGTTTGTTTCCTGTGTTTACATCCTAGGAGCCAGGACTAATTTTGTTTTTTTATTAAGGGGGTCTTAATTTTCATTTTCCCTCTTAGTAGGAAATTGTGAACAATCGGATCTGAGGCAATGTGTGAGGCTTCAAGTGATATACGTGACTCCATGACATATTTATGGAGGGTGCTTCACACGATAGCTAAAAATGGAGCATGAGTTTTAAACAGACAGGAAAGTATGTTACTCTTGAAACCCAGGACTGCTGCTGCTACATTCCAGTTCCACACAGCACCACGTGTACAATTTACAGCAGGGGTCCCCAACCTTTTTGAGCCTGCAGGCACCTTTGGATTTCTGACACAAGGTGGTGGGCACAACCCAAAAATGGCTGCCACAGAAGGCGGAGCCATCCACAAAATGGCTGCCGCAGGAGGCGGAGCCAACCACAAAATGTCAGGGAGTGAGGTTACGCATAACTCTAACAGTAACTCTTCAACATTTCAAGTAGCAGCTCAGTTTAACCAGATGCCTTTTTAAATGAAGGTATTGTTTCACTACCTTTTCCTGCATACGCACAGCTCGCCTCCAGTCACACAGTGAAGTTCCTTGTGCTGTGCAGGCAAGTGTTGCCGAATCAACTTAAAAAAAAACCAACTAGATAGCCAATCAACTCTCCAGTGGCCAATCAGAGACCCTGCTGGGCAAAACCCCCACCTGGCAACCCCCCCGGCACCGGCAGACACCACGTGGGGACCTCCCCCTGGTCTATAGCACAGGTAACCCAAATAACTGAGTTGGGGTGTGTTTTGCTTTGTAACATAAAAACAGGAGATTCTTTAAATCAGCCCCTTCCGTCCATAGTGAGAAATATCTTCAAAGCACCATGCTGTTCTTTCCCATCACGACTACGAAAATACGTACGATTTTCTGAAGTACGAACTCGTAAATCTTCCTTCCTGCATTGGCTCGGAAAAATTTCCTGTACTCTCTACGGACCTGACAAAGTAAAATAATCTGTGTAAGTATTTAAAAACAAACAAACAAACAAACAAACAAACAGTGATTTTATTAAACTAGTAGCAGATGAAATTCAGCAATGCTCTACAGAAGTAGTTCCACAGACAAGATTCTCTCTAGGACAGTGATGGCGAACCTTTTCGAGACCGAGTGCCCAAACTGCGACCCAAAACCCACTTATTCATCGCAAAGTGCCAACACGGCAATTTAACCTGAATACTGAGGTTTTACTTTAGAAAAAAACCCTCATAACATTAACTTAAGATGATCCAAACAAAGTAAGGAAAGCAATCCCAAATGCTTTCATTTACTTGAAATTATTTGGCAGAGAATTCGACACGTTAATGGTGGTCTGGGCCTGGCTGGGGCAATGGCATGCGTGCCCACAGAGAGGGCTCTGAGTGCCGCCTCTGGCACCCGTGCCATAGGTTCGCCACCACTGCTCTAGGAGCTCTGCCTACACATGTTTGTTTTCTAAGAGATGGCTTTTTTTTCTAAGTCACATCTGGTGATGTCAGCATCCAGACACACAGAAAATTTAAAAATAGGAAATGGTCCCCACAAGAAAGCACCGGGCATGGCACAGCAGAAGGGCAAATCGGTACTTATGGAGTGAGCGGACAACTAGCAATTTCTCTGTGAGTAACTGGATACTGCATAGGTTGAAAGGGAAACTTTACTAGGCTTATTTTAAAATTCAGGGGAGGCTGTTGTACACAACTTGGATTTCTTTTTGCTCGCCCCCTTTTTTTAAAGAGCTAAGCAATCCAACCTGGGTAGGATATGCCAGTCAGTGTTTCAACACCAAATCCAAATTCTTCTCTTCAGCTTTTCCTCCTCCTCCCTTTTGGAATATACGACGAGACTTTTAAATGCGTTTTAGACGCGACAGTACGTATTTGCAAGCTGCGCATGCACACTGCACTCAAAGAGATTCAATGAGGTACCGTGGCCCTGAGAATAACAGTGTCTCCACAGACAGAAATTGTCCGCTGCTACAAAAAATAGGGCGGAAGAGTGGAAGTGCAGTGGGCGGGGCTCCCCCTCACAGCAAAAGGGGCCACGGTGTCTGAAGCGGCAGAGTATGCCGAGGGGGCAAAGCCCTTCGAAGCAACTTGCTAATTTCCAGAGAGGCTTGAGTTAGGTGGTATCTAGAAAGCCACATTTGTATGAGCCACTGTGTGCAAACGATGCTCCTTATGAGACGTATGGGCCGTTCTTCAGCTCAACGCTGATGAAGTGCAAAAAGCTCCTCTTAGAAGAGTTGTGCAGAAATAGCCTTCCTTTCCAGATTTTCCTAAAAATGAATTATTTTCAGGAACCGATTGCATTCGACTGGGGGAAGAGCCTCGTCTTCCAACGCACTGATCACGTCAACTGGTGTAAGTGTGGCGGTGGGATGAGGGGGAGCAGGGCTCTTTTTGTAGCAGGAACTCCTTTGCATATTAGGCGACACACCCCTAATGTAGCCAATCCTCCAAGAGCTTAGAGAGCTCTTCTTACAGGGGCTACTGTGAGCTCTTGGAGGATTGGCTACATTAGGGGTGTGTCACCTAATGTGCAAAGGAGTTCCTGCTACAAAAAGATCCCTGAGAGGATTTAAAACACCAAAGGGGTGCTAAATCCAATCACCACTGTTCTAATTATGCTCCCCCTCCAGTCCAATTTGCACCACCGCACTTTGACACAGGGGTCATTTCGTAGAAAAAGAGCTAGGGGAACTCATTAGCATAACTCATTAGCATATGCCACACACCCTGACATCACCGGAAGTGTGTCATAAGGCCGCACCCCCTGACATCACCGGAAATGTGTCATAAGGCCACACACCCCGCCCCCAACGGTCCCGGCCGTCACCGCCGGCCTTGCAGCTCCACTGCCGAGCCCCATGAGGGGCCCGGCGGTGGACCTGCAAGGCCGGCGGGAGTGCGAGGAAGCCCCGCGAAGGCCCTCCCTGGCCCCAGGCAGGCAGGGGTGGGGAGAGGCAGGGAGGAAGCAACTTACCCTCCCTCTTCTCCTGCCTCCTTCCTCCTGGCTGAATGAGGGCCGGAAGCGGGGCGGCTGGAAGCAGGGGGCGGGGCTTCGTCATGTGCCTCGCCCCCCGTACCTCACCCGGGGGAACTGCGATCCCCCCCGAAATGACCTCTGCTTTGACACCAAAAGGGTACCTGTTCTGGAGAAAACCTTCTGGGGAAGGGTTCAGAAATCCTCCTTTATCAGGGACTAGGGCAAACTCCAGTCTGAAGACAAAAGGTCTGCCGGGATTACATGCCGTTCTGGACCACAACAAATCTGACTGATGCGCCCCAAAGCAGATACGTCTGGAGGATTCGGTCTCAAATCTCCAGTATCCATCGTCGTAAATTTGGTCGCCATTTAATCCAAAACTGGCTTACCTAAAATGGGTAACTTAATATACTGGGGGGGACGGAACCAGTCAAAGCTGGGTGCTTGAAGTGAATGCAGGGATTTTTTTGATGGAGGTACTAGCTGGTACTGAGCACCAGCGCCTTTTGGGTGGCTTTCCCAAGTCCTATGGGGGGGAACTGGTGGTGGTTCCTGCATCCTCAGATATGAGTAGCAGCACTTTTTAATAAACAAAACAAAAAAAGCACCGTCAGCCTTAATTTCAGAAGAAGAGGAGATTGGATTTATACCCCGTCCTTCACTACCCGAATCTCCTTTCCCTTCCCCTCCCCACAACAGACAGCCTGTGAGGTAGGTGGTGCTGAGAGAGCTCTCCTGAGAACTGCTCTTGAGAGAACAGCTCTGAGAGAACTTGTGACTAACCCAGCAGGTGCACGTGGAGGAGTGGGGAATCAAACCCAGTTCTCCCAGATTAGAGTCCACACTCTTAACCACGACACCAGACTGGCTCTCTTGTAGCAACATCACAGAGCGGGTTGAGACCATAGCCCCAGTTCATACTTGCTGGTAGTCCCAGTGGGCTAACTGCACATGGGAAGGAACCATTTCTGTCACTACTTCTTATAAGTTTGTTTGTGGGGGGGGTTGGTTATTCTTTGATATTTTGTGTGTGTGTGTGTGTGTGTGTGTGTGTGCATGCACCTGGAAGTCACACTGACCTCCTACTGGGGGCCTGGAGGCTATTCAGAGAGGTGGCTGAATAAAGCCTGCCTCTGTCCTCTAGACTTGGTGTTCCAAGGAGGTCTCCCATCCAAGTACTAACCACAGTCGACCCTGCTTAGCTTCCAAGATCTGATGAGAGCTATTCTTGAAAAAGAGCAGTTTCTGTCACAGCTCTCTCAGCCCCACCTACCTCACAGGGCGTCTGTTGTGGGGAGGGGAAGGGAAAGGAGTTTGTAAGCCGCTCTGAGATTCCGAGTGAAGGGCGTGGTATAAATCCAATCTCTTCTTCTTCTTATACGTTGATACAGCTGCTGAGCTTTGTACTATCACCAGTCGAGAAGAGCTGCTACAAGCACAGAAACTATTACAGAAGAAAAAACTGCAAATTTGTGCAGACACTTGTAATATTATAATAATGCACTAGAACACGCAGAGTGACAAAAATACAATTATACAAATGTGATACAAAATTCTCCTTCTATTCTAGACGTGGATGTGACGAAATTCTCCGGAGTATATCCTCCGTTTCGCAAAGAACTTCATCAAACCATCGATGCTCCATCGAGGTCCATCAGTGGCTATTAGCCACAAGGTATAGATAGGGACTCTGGGGCAAGTGATGCTCTGTCATCTTGGTGCTTGGGGGGGGGGTCAAAGGTGGGAGGGCTTCTAATGTCTTGGCCCCACTGGTGGACCTCCTGATGGCACCTGGTATTTCTGGCCAGTGTTGGATTGGATGGGCCTTTGGCCTGATCCAACATTGGCATCTCTTAAGTTCTTATGTTCTTATGATGCTCAGAAAATATGTTTCTTCTTATTTCATAACTATTCCATGATGTCCCATCCATTTCCTCAAAGGAGGAACGCACTCTCATCCATTCATTTCCAAATTTTTCACAAACGCGGGCAAGTCAGCTACGCGATGCATCTTTTCTGAGCGTCGATGGTTTGATGTCGTTCTTTGCGAAACGGAGGATATACTCCGGAGTATTTCGTCACATCTACGTCTAGAATAGAAGGAGAATTTTGTATCACATTTGCATAATTGTATTTTTGTCACTCTGAGTGTTCTAGTGCATTATTATAATGTTACAAGTGTTGTCTGCACAAATTTGCAGTTTTTTTCTTCTGTAATAGTCTCATTAACTGCAACCCCCTGTCCTTGATGTAAACAAGCAGGGCCGGCTCACTCACTAGGCGAACTAGGCGATCGCCTAGAGCAGGACGGCCCTTAGAGGCACCAAACTGCGCCTGGCCCCATACTCTGGGAGTTTCTTGATTATTTGTGTTTTTCATTCTTCCTATAATGCATTTATTTTTGAAAATTGGTGGGCGCACGGGGCCCCCAGAAGGGATCCTCGCCTAGGGTACAAAATAAGCTGGAGCCGGCCCTGTATACAAGCACAGAAACAGCAGTGGCTGCTCATACAACCCTTCTACGTGAGAGGCAGTTCACACAAACGGTGCCTCCCCGAGAGAGGGACCCCGTGGCAAACCCGGCCCCAGCCATTCCCGAGCGGCCTGCGTACAGGAAGCATCCTGCAGGGATCCACCATTGTCGTGAAAACTGATTGTAGTCTGCATTTAGAAATTCTGGACAACAACATGCCGGGTGGGAAAAATGAAAACTAAAGTCACAATGGTTTCCTACTGAAGTGAGAGGGAGGTTTAGAAGAGAACCGTCTCGTTCTGAACTGCTGCCAATGCAGGTCAGCGTCAATAACTAACAGCGTCCCTCTGGAGCGTTTTATTGTCCCGCTGATAATCCGCACTCCTGGTAAGATTAGCAGCAGCGTCAAACTAAAGACAGCTGCATACAAACACTTAAAAAAAATAGTATCATATGGGGTTTAGTGCAATAGCTGTTTTTTTAATTTAAAAAAGTTCAT